CCGTACTGGAACCCAATGTTAGTTCTGTTAATGTTCTGTATCCCAAACTGGGAAACTCAATTGGTTGAACATGTACAGAGGGGTCATTTGTGATCTTCTCTGTGTTCAGCCACAGGATGCACCCAGAGGTGCTGACAGACATGAATGGCAAGAGAATTGGGAGCTCGGTGTGAGCCAAGTGGGCTGCACATTTTCAGTGAAGCATTGTTCTTCATGCTTCATGTTCTGAAGGACATCACACAGCTCCACTACATGACCTCAAAAACGTCGTTATGCAGCCACAATAAACACCCATTTTCAGCAACAGATCCACAGTCCTATCAGACTGAACACAGTTCCATCAAATATTGTACTAAGGACTAGTCAAAGCCAGGCAACTAGAAAAACTAGTCATGCCCAAACCCATCAGATAACAGCATGCCAGAGCTGGCCACCTCTCTAGCACCAGCAGAGACCTCAAGGAGATGACAATGGCAGAAACATTTCCATTTGGCAGATAGTTTCCACCTCCCACCAATTCTCTCTTCAGAAACACCCAGTGCTTGGAGGGAGCAGATGCTGCCCCCCACAACGTGCCTACAGGCTGCCTGCAGGCTCAGTGCAGCATCAGACAAAGCACGGTCTGTCACATTGGGACTGAAAGATGAATGCCTAAGTCATGTCTCCTGTTTCATTATCACATGGATACAGTACACTGAATTCCTTCATGCTTCCCAACACACCGGACTTTGAAGGTGCCTTATCTGAAATAATGATGAAAATTCATCCTCTGGGAAAATACAATTTATTAACACCTAAGATTATAACCCATCCCACAGGCCAGCTCAATACTGGAACAATGTACCGACCAGACGAGGGCTGAGCCTGGCCTTCACGATGGTCACACCAACTCAAACCAGGCATTCCTGGAGCCATTCAGTGCAGCACCATTGTTTTACACATCTAACAGATCCGGGCCTGCTGCAGTCCACCCACAAACCTGGAGGTTTTTGGAGCAGGTTGTTCCCAGCAGCACTGCAGCAGTTTTCTGTTTCTGGCTTGTTCTGCCTCATTCCCTCCCCAGCACATACAAAGCTCAGAAGGGCTAAAGTGAAGCTGCTGATTAAAGTTCACCTTCCACTCCCAGAACTGAAGGACTAAATAGTAGATCACTAGGAGATGAAAACTGAGAACTGGAGAACATGAATACCTGTGGAAAATCCTTCCCAGTTCGTGTGGGGCAGGGGAAGCAGCAGATGCCAGATGAAGCATTTCATCAGCAGTAGGAACAATAACCCACCACCCTGCAAGCTGTGATACCACTCATCTACTGCTTATTTATTCCATTTAAAGCATGCACAAGACACTCACAGGCAGCTGAGTCCCCATTTTCTCTGTACAGCAAACATTTGTTGTTTTCAAGCTACAGCCCTTAAGCCAAATTCACTTCAATGCCAGAACCTCTGGAATTCACATGTAACAAACCACAGTTATCATCGTCATCCTCTCCACTCACCCATAAAGGAGGGGAGACTCCAAGCATTGTTTCAGCTGGTTCCAGCCTCCCGCCCCCCCCCCCCCCCCCCGGAGAGCAGGGAGGTATTTGTGCCTTTTTAGCACAAATGGCGAAATCTCTGCCAGCCCAGGATGTAACCGAGGGAAAGGAATGAACACACAGAGTCACAGGAGCTTCCTCTCTGAAGAAATCAGCTTTATTCAGAATACACAATGCTTTCCCAGTTACACAAGCCTAAAGATCAACAGATTTGGGTTTGCGCCTTCACAAAGCAGTATTATTTACCTGAGGTGTGTGGAGCTCCAGCATGCCACCAAGGGAACCAGCACTGATAACAGAAGTATGTGAGAGGATGAAGTGGAAAAACAGTGCTGCAAATACCCCCCAGTTTTCAGGCACAGCCCATTTAACTGAACTGACCTGACCCTCCGAGGTTCATACAACAGACTCTGAACAATAACATTCAAGTATCAGATCTTTTGGATTAGAAACAAGATACTCAGTATTCCGTTAACTTCCTCATGATCCTTCTCTTCTTTGATTTACCCCTCAGAGATCCAGGGAAAGAATACAGAGACTGTGTAAAGGGCTGTGTGCTCAGCTTCTAAAGAAACATTTCAGACAACTGAAGAAAACATCCAGGTATTTGTTTTAACACTTCTTACAAAATACCATACACTCACAGGGTAGAAAACCCTCCCCTGGCACTAACTGTTGCAGCAAGAAAGCGTTAACAGCACATAAAAGAGTCCCAGAAAGGACCCTACTACTGCTGGCATGATCCCATAGCACTCACCTTTCACTGACTCAGCCAACTCCTCCTCACAGATACAAGGGGCTGGCATCAACCCACTTGCCCTACCTGACAAAGGGACGGCAGCAGGACCCGACAGACCTGGGCAGTGTTCAGAGACATGCAACAATGTGCTCCTTCTGCTGGTTTGTCACCACAAGTCCCAAGGAAAACTGCAAAGAGTCACAGAATTACCGGATGGTTTGGGTTGGAAGAGACCTTAAAGGCCATACACTTCTAACCCCCTGCACAGGCAGGGACACCTTCCACTACAGCAGGTTGCTCCAAGCCCTATCCAGCCTGGCCTTGAACACTGCCAGGGATGAGCTTTAAGGTCCCTTCCAACCCAAACCACTCTCTGAGTCCATCAGTGTAAAATACTGCTGATAAAACTATGAGTAACCACCCAGTGGCAGTATTTTTAAAAGAAGTGATTACCAGGAATACTTGGATCAAGAGTTACTCCTGACTTGGCTGATCTCACAGAGCACATTGGGATGCCTGACTACAGACGAAAAGCTCCAAGCAAAACTTCTGTTGAACTGCAGCAATATCTCATTGCATGCATTGGGGTCCCAATTACAGCTTCAAAGGCTTGCTGCAGTTACAAAGAAATAAGTATTATTGGCAGTAAACATTAACTACTTTGTACCTCCAGTAGCTCCGTACAGGACTTGTAAATTAGCAGAGATTTTTGATCCCACTGTGAAAATTGTCTCACTGTTGAGGGGAACGTGTGAGTTACAATAGATACCTCTCCCAAACAGTATTTATTATATACAGTGACTCAGAGAGACAAGCTGTATATATTATGTACACAACTCAGGGACAGATCAAGACACATGCAGTCAATAAGGGGGAACCCACCACTGCACCACTGGGAAATCCTTTAATCTCAATTCCTCTTTTCCAAATCAGAAAGCTAGGAGTTCTCCCTTTGCAAATAAACCACTCGTAAGGGATGGGACAGGAGAAAACATGCTGGCCAAGATGTGAGGGCTCCCAGCTCTGCTAAAAACCCTTCATTCTTCTGACTTAAACCAGAAAACATTTGCTTAGTACCTACTGCCTTTTTTAAAGCGATGGTTGAGGCAGATTCTCATCGGGTTCATGAAACCCAGCCAGCTGATGGGCTTCAGCACTCACACTAATCAGCCGGAAGGTAAAAAGGGAAACACAGTAGTGTAACAAACCTTACACCTCTAAAGCTTGGCTTGGGCACCAGAAGCTTTTCTCATCGAGGTCAGAGTCATCAACAATGAACACTCAAGGCAAAGAGAAGAGCAAACATACAGCTCCAACCACACAGACCATGTCGCTCCCTGAGTAAGCTGAGAACATACGTCAGGATCAAACACATCTGTGGTGGGCACTGCCCCGACTACAGCAGTTACCACCTGCATCACAGGGACACCTCAAACCTGAAGCAGTGAAGTATCCATCTTTTTTCTTTAGTCTCCCCTGTCAGTGGTTTACACTCAGGAAAAAATATTTTGTGACTTTTTAACTTCCCGAATTCCCTTCCTCAGTAGCTCCTGCACTGCTTTTACAGCTACTTTTTATTGTGAGATTCATGCATAACAAGATTGTATCAAGACAAACCCTCCTCATTTCCATCTGTATTTGGCATCTGCAGTCTCAGCAGACTCTCAGCTCAGGAGGACAGATGAAGCCCACGGATTAGAAATCACATCTAGGGCAGTGGGAAGGACTCTCAGCAGGGTGAATACTGCCAGCAGACCGCAGGCAGTGACACACAGTGAAAGAGCTGCAGTGAGCCCGCGCAGGATGGGCTCAACCCACCAAACCCTGCTGGGCTCAGCGACTGAACTCCAGGTACAGCCAGGGAGTGCAAACACAAACGGGTCAGGTACAGACAAGGAAGACTTAAGCGGGCTAATTCATGTGCAATGAGGATCCTGCTCCTAATTAGATTACCAAACCAGCAATTTAACTTGCCCTGCTCCCTCCTGTGACCGCCGCGGAGTCGAGATGAGCCCCAAGCCTCAAAACGCGGATCTGTTCCACAAACACCGCCCAGAGCCATCAGCAGACCCTGCGCTCCACGTGGGACCACCGTTCTGAGGCAGCAAAGTACTCCCAAACGGAGCCCACACACGATTTCCACAGGTTGCATAAGTACAGAGAACAGGGAAGAAGCTTCTTTAATGCCCGTTTGCAGTACGCGACCTCTTGGGCACATGTGAAGACACACCGGCAGGCGCCACCGGAGCCCCGCGTCCTCTGCCCGAACAAAACTCCACTTGAAATAGCTGCAACCTAGAAGTCAGAGCACAGGGACTGATCCAAGTAACAGAGAAGGGAGAAAGGGAAGGAAGCACAGCGCGCAGGCAGCATCAGCAAGGGGGGAGACCCCTCTCCCCAGGCCAGACAGAGACCCTGGTGCAGCATCACCCCACGGGGGAGCCGGACCGCAGAGAACTCCCAATAGACGGAAAAGGAACCGGCGCCTGCTCGTACCCGCACGGTGCCTCCCTTCTAAGGCGAGGGGTGCCCAAGGCCGCACCGAACACACCCAAAACCGAGCTCCGCGCCGGCGCCGCGGGGCAGACCCGGGTTAAGGGCGCCCGCCCCGCCTCTCCCCGCTCGGCTCTTCCGGGTCGGGCGCACGGAGGCCGCCTCGGGCTCTGGTTCTAGCAGCGGAACCGCCACCGCCACCGCCACCGCCACCAGCTCCACCTCCGCCAGCACCAGCGGGTCCCGGTGCCCGCTCCGCCCGGGCAGTGCGGCCATGCCGGTGGCGGGCGAGCGGAGCGCGGCGCGGCGGGAGGCCACGGAGCGACGGCTGGCGCGGTTCGCGGCGCTCCGAGGTGGGACGCGGCGGGGACGGGGGCCCGGCCCCCTGCGGGGGGGCCGCGGATGGGAGCCCCTGGTCCGGCCGCGCTGACTGAGGCGCCGCCGCTGTGCCCGCAGGGAAGCCCGCCCGCCCCGGCCGGTTCTGGGACGTGGTGGCGCTGACGGCCGCGGACGCGGGGCAGGCGCTCGCCTACCGGGAGCAGCTGGACGCGAAGCTGCGCAGGAGGGAGCTGCCGCTCGGGCCGCGGTACCTCGTGTTCGCCGACCCGCCCGGACACAAGGCCGGTGGGTACCGGTCCGGGGCGAGCCGCGGGGTGAGCCCAGCGCCGTGCGGGGCATGGCGGGGGTCGGGGGCGGCCGAAGGATCCGGCTGCGCAGCACAGCGACTTGAGAGGCTGCTGCGCGGGTGTGCAGTTGCCTGGTGCACTGGTTTGATGCGCTAGTGGCCATGTAATGCAGCGCTGTGCTTACTTGCAGTCAGGTAGAAGCAGGCTTTGCGCTGGTGTCCTGTGTCAGCTGCTTCGTGCGCAGCAAGGGCTCCGAAGTGCTGCACAAGTATTCATTAAACCCCAAGCGTAGGGTCTAGCCCCGTTAAATAGGATGTAGCTTTGATTCAGTTGTGCAGCTGCTGACACCAGGGGTGGCGGCGTTTGTCACTTTCATTACACTTCCCAGTGTAATACGTGGGGGCCCTGTCAGGGTGGTGTGAGTGTTGATGCACTGCGTGGTTCTGCCACGTGGATCATATGGAATACGAGTAACGCTAACTCACGCTTTCTGTAAATTAGCGCTGTTTACTTTAACCTCACTGCTTAACTAATTGGAATATCACAGAACCCCAGCCCGGTTTGTGTTGGAAGGGAGCTTAAAGCTCATCCAGCTCCAACCCCTGCCACGGGCAGGGACCCCTTCCACTAGAGCAGCTCGCTCCAAGCCCCTGTGTCCAACCTGGCCTTGAACACTGCCAGGGATGGGGCAGCCACGGCTTCTCTGGGCACCCTGTGCCAGTGCCTCAGCACCCTCACAGGGAGGAACATGTTTTAGTATTTTACCTGATGTGCAGCCAAAGCCTAGAAGAAAGTATCCTGAGTGTCCGTAACATCACCCTGTAGTTCTTCATTCCTGCTCACTTTGCTGTAGAAAGTAACTGATCTCAGCAGTCTTTCCGCAGTGTGGAGTAACAGGCAGAGATTGATTTTCAGAAATCTAGCAATTTGAAGTTCTCAGAGAACATAAAAATATCCCAAACCATTTCCTCATATCCCAGACATTTTTCTTCATATCCCAAGCATTATTCGTCATATCCCAGACATTTTTCCTCATATCCATATTGCAAAGGTCAGCAGTGCTGGAGTTGTGGTTGGCTTGTGCCCAGTGCTGGGGGAGCTCAGAGGGTGGCTGGCAGGGAAAGCATTGAGCTTTCTGGCAGGTACTAAACTATTTTTTCTGCAGGAAATGGTGGATCAACTCTTCATGTTCTTCAGTGCCTGGAAGACCTGTATGGTGACAACTGGACATCCTTTATTGTACTGCTCATTCATTCTGGTAAATTCCAGTTTACATTTCTCACTGCAATGGTACACGATTTGGTTACTATATTAACATGTGCTCTTCCTTGTGAGGTGTTGAGGTGCTGGCACAGGGTGCCCAGAGAAGCTGTGGCTGCCCCATCCCTGGCAGTGTTCAAGGCCAGGCTGGATACAGGGGCTTGGAGCAAGCTGCTCCAGTGGAAGGGGTCCCTGCCTGCGGCAGGGCTTGGAGCTGGATGAGCTTTAAGGTCTCTTCCAACCCAAACCAGTCTGGGATTCTGTGATCCGGTTGAGTTTAGATTGGCAGTTGGGAGGTACTGCTGTCACCTGAGTATTTCTTCTCAGCACTTGCATTGTTCTGTCAAACCATGGAGGAAGGAGTGTAATTCCAAGTGTCTGAATTCAGCTGCTGCCCTGAAATACCCTGTAAGGAACATGTGGCCCCTTTGGGAGGGACCTAGAGCCCTCAGTACTAAGGGCAGGTGGAGCACTCACTGCATTATCCAACTAGAACACTTCCAAAAGGGGCATCAGTTTTTCAGAGTGGAAAGGAGCCAGGTAACGTGTCCGCTGCCCAAACCGCTGCTGCTTTGCCTCAGCTCTGGCTTAAAATTCCCAGTGGGTGTGGGGGTCCTCCTTATTCTCAATCTAAAATTAAGCATCTGCTTGCTTCATTTGAGTTACAGACAAGGGGTCTGTGTTCCAAAGTAAAGACGAAACAGAACACACCACCATTTTAACATAAGTTATTTATGGCGTGTTAAATTGTGGGCATCAGGTCACATCTGCTTTGAGAAATGCTTGAATGACTGATGTATTTGTACATCTGTCATTGTTTGGTGCATACTCAGTATATGACCAAGCTGGGGTTTGAACCTTTGTGCACTCATAAAATAGCTGCAAAGCTTTAGCTTTTGCTCCCGTACGCAGTGTCTCTGTGTAACTAAAACTGTGCTTTTCCTCAAGGCGGTTACAGTCAGCGTTTGCCCAGTGCAAGTGCCCTGGGAAAGGCATTCACAGCTCTGCCGCTGGGTGATCCCATGTACCAGATGCTGGACCTGAAGCTGGCCATGTACATCGATTTCCCCAGCCACATGAAGCCGGGCGTTCTCGTTACGTGTGCGGATGACATCGAGCTGTACAGCACTGGAGTTACAGAGACGGTCACCTTTGATAAGCCTGGATTCACTGCCTTGGCTCACCCTTCGGAGCTGGCCGTGGGGACCACTCATGGAGTGTTTGTTTTAGATCCAGCCGGTTTCTCAGGAAAGGGAGGACTCGAATACACATCTTGCCATCGCTTCCTGCACAAACCTGCTGTTGAGACCATGCGGCAGTGCGGGGCCGTGTACATGAGAGGGAATGGTTCTTTGCCAACTGCCCCCGGAGACCGTGGGGACTCGGAAATGGGCTCTGAGTGTGTGTACACAGACAGTATATTTTACATGGACCATAGCACTGCAAAGCAGCTGCTGGCATTTTATAAGCAGATGGGCACTCTTTGCTGTGAAATAGATGCTTATGGCGACTTCCTGCAGGCCCTGGGACCTGGAGCCACGCAAGACTACACAACAAACACAAGCAGCATCAGCGTCACAAAAGAGGGATCACAGTTGATAGAGGTGCGGCAGAAGCTGTACTCTCTCCTCAAAGGAACTGCACTTAATGTTGTAGTCTTGAACAACTCCAAGTTCTACCACATTGGAACGACTGAGGAGTATTTGTTCCATTTTACGTCTGACAGCAAACTGAAGTCTGAGCTTGGCTTGCTGCCTGTGGCCTTCAGCATCTTTCCTGACAGGGCATTGGCTCAAACAGCGAGTGTCATGCACAGCATTCTGGAGCCAGGGTGTCTTGTAGGACCTGGATCCATCATCGAGTACTCCAGGATTGGGCCTGAGGTCTCTGTAGGGGAGGGCAGCATTATTAGTGGGTCGGATATAAGTGGGAAAGTAGATGTTCCCTCGCACTGCTTTCTGAGCGCGCTGAGTGTAGAAGCTGACCGTGAGGTGCAGTATGTGAGCATGGTGTTCGGTGTGGAGGACGACTTGAAGAAGAGCGTGAAGGTGCTGTCCGACGTCGGTGCCCTGCGGTTTTGTGGCGTCAGCTTGCCGGAGTGCCTGGAGCTCTGGGGTGTGCAGGTGTCGGAGCAGCTCTTCTCCAGCGAGAGCACAGGCTTGAGCTTGTGGACCGCGAGGCTCTTCCCCGTCTGCTCCACGCCGGCGGAATCAGTCCGCGTGTCGCTGCAGATGGTGCATTCCGTGCAGCACACGTCACGTCTCGCATTGCACGGCCTCAGGCGCTTGTCTGTGCAGGAGATGCTCAGGTGCAAAGAGGTCGGGGGCATGATGAAGTTCAGGAAGCAAATTTATGATGAAATCCATCTACGAAGGCGAAAAGAGAAGTCTGATCTGTAGAACGAGCAGTGCTTGAGCAAACGCCCGATGTTGGTGTGAGGGTGGTTGGTACTGCCCAGCTTCTGAAAATCGTCAGAGGAAAGCACACGGATCTTGTCTGTGGTTTCGTCAGAGGAGGAAGTGTGAACCTGCATTAGCAGCGTTGTAGCATGGCACGAATGGTGCAGCGAATGCAGATGAACTGTTCTTTTGATGAGAAGAGCATGGAACTGTTTCAGATCTCTGCAGACTCTGATGGGTGACTTTTCCTGGTCACTGTGTTCTGTGGCCTTTGCAGGAGAGGTGTGATACAGAGCAGATTCATGGACATTTCACTGGCAACTGCTGTAGAAACTTTTCAGCATGGGCTTAGCTGCAGCAGCACAGCGTGATAACTCCAAGTTTCTCTCCTTTCACCTGACTTTTTAGTGATGTGTCAAACGGGTACAGGTACACTTATTAAAAGTACTTTTTAAATCCAGACATCCTGTCTTTAGCATTAATCATTTTCTTTCTCTGTTTTGTAATTTTTCTTCTTTGGTTTCATCAGAGGAAAAAGCTTTGCATGGGGGATGGTTCTTTCCTTTGGGACTGGTAATATTGGGGTTAAAACTGTTGAGTCCTTGGAGAAGAGCTTCCAGAAATTTCCATGGAGCCACAGGTAGCGCAGGTTTGCCCATTGATGCTCGGTGCTAACACAGACCAGTGGAGCAGAGGCTCAATGGTGTGGTGGTACCAACCTGCAGACCCAGCTGCATCTGGGATGGGTCAGAAGCAGGGCCTCATGCCCCTGCAGGAAGTGGTGTCCTCTGGGATGTTCTGTTTTGTGTCATTCCTCAACCCTGCTCCGGTGCTGGAATGACCCAACTTCCTGTGAAGTGGTGGATGTTGCACCAGCATCCTGCCCTGTGAGGGTGCTGAGGCGCTGGCACAGGGTGCCCAGGGAAGCTGTGGCTGCCCCATCCCTGGCAGTGTTCAAGGCCAGGTTGGACACAGGGGCTTGGAGCAAGCTGCTCTGGTGGAAGGTGTCCCTGCCCGTGGCAGGGGTTGGGGCTGGATGAGCTGTAAGGTCCCTTCCAACACAAACCAGCTGGGATTCTGTGATTTGTATGTATCCTTGATGACACATTTGAAGAACAGTGTCTGTTTAGGCACTGGGTAAATCTTTTGCAGTGATTTATGAAGTGTGTGTAGTTTTCAGCTATAGCCCTTCTTGCAAGGGCTAAATCTGCTATGTTACAGTGTGATCAAATCTTACTAAAACCAGACAGAATTCAGCCTGGATGCTTCCTGACAGTGATGACCTCAGTTGATGTAGGCAGTATCTGTATGTATTCTGTTCATGTACATTGCACAAACTTCAGCCCATCTTTTTCACAGTGTGCTGTGAAGGTAGGTGATAACAGTTTTCTCATGTAACCAGCTGGGATAAACTTGTTCCAGGGGAATTGAGGGACTTGCGCGAGGCCATGCAGTGAAATCTAGCAGCAGGGTAATAGTAATTGTGGGGCTACTGGTTTGTGGCATCAGATTCTGATTCACGGCATTCTGGTCCAGGTTTTCCTTCCAGTCTGAGCAACAAAGGATGCAGTGCTCAAAGTGCCTGTCAGGCCGGAGCAGGAGGAACGGGAGCATCTGTTGAAATCTGGGGTCTGACTTTGCTAAGGCTCCTGAGGTTCCTGGCTGGACGCAGTTGCCATGCAGGCCTCCAGGTCACTGCCTGGCTCCATCTCGTGAAATGCGTCTCAGGCTGGTACAATCTCAAATAAACCAAGATGAGTGTTTAATGATTTTATTCATGTCAGCTTGCTTTATGTAATTAGGTTTGCTGTGTAGTGCAATAATGGGCCTCATCATGAGCATTGTCAAATGATTTCCCTGACTGCTTTGGGAGCATGCTCGAAAGAGCAGGGATGTAGCCTTCCTGTGTGTGTTACACTGTGCAGCCGGGGAGGATTCTTTCGGTCACCCTTTGGGCAGGAAACTGAAATCTGAGAATTGAGGCCCTTAAAGAGGTGCAGGAGGGAGGTGTCTGGGATCAGAGCGAGCAGCTGGGAGCATCTGTGCCAGCAGGACCTGGGGAGCTGATGGAGGAAGGTGAGTGCCAGCAACCACCCGGATCTGCCCGGGAGCATCCCTGTCCTGGATGGGCAGTTTGCCTGGGCTGAGCTCCCTGGTTCAGCCTCTGCTTGTTCCTAAATCCCTGGTGCAGCAGCTTCATGCTCTGCTCCCTGCACGTGTGGAACATGAGTCCCTGTGCAAACACCCCTGCAGCGTTGTGAGAGCAGAACCAGCAGCATTACCCCGTGCACTCCTTTCAGCCCTCTCCCAGAGAAGCCGTGGAACCACCCGCTCCTTATCCGGGATACAGAATTCCTCAAACTTCATTTCCATTAAGGTGCCTTTTTCATTTTATGTGACAGGTCAGAATGTCACCAGAATGACAAGGAAATGTACAGGAGCAGCTTCCAGCCTCCCAAAGGGAATGTCAGGTATGGAGATCTTCTAACCAACCTGACATAAAGACCATTGCAGAAGGCTTGATCCTGTAAAGCCTTCCTGTGGAGGATGCCGGAAATCAGAGGTGGAAAGGAGCCCTTCACACGTCCCTCTTGCAGGGCTGGACGTGTCAGCGGTGCGTGGCAGGCACTCGTACAGCTGAGCTGTGTGACCGCTGCAGCTGGGGGCTCTGCTCACCGAGGAGCACCGCTCTGCCGCTGCAGTGCTGCCAGTGCAGATGCGAACTAGAACTGGCCCAACAGAGCAGTTGTTCCGTTCCTCTCTGTTTGCAAGCACACTGCAAACAGGCTTTGCAATCGCTCCTTTTGTCCCCTTCCCACTGATCTCAGTTATTCCGCAGCTGCCTCACAGCTGGGCTGTGGATGTGCAGAACTCACCTGGAAGCTGCTTTCATGGTGTTGGATGGGCTCTGGTGACTGACCGAATGGTCCTGCTGTGCTGTAGCTTCCAGAGCTCTCCCTGAGAGTCCATAGGAATGAATCTTCACCCACACAAATGTGTGCAAAAGAGTGAGAAGAAATACAGCGTAAAACTGATGACTTTGTTGATGTTCTTGAAACAGATGGTACTAGAATATAAACAATATGCAAGGTATTTTCTGCTTTAAAGTATATCATTTTATCTCTATCTCATGGAAACTTTATGTACTTACGTTATAAAGTTGCTGTATTAAAATGTGTTTTCTGTGCAAAAGTGAACAGAACTTTTCCTGGGGTTTGGAGTCTGTCCTGTCCCTGTCATGGTCGGCTTGGTCTGAATGGAAGAAAATTCTGTTCCTCAGGCACCCAGGAGCACCACAAAGTGTTTTGTCACTTCCAGGTCTGTTTTTTCTCCTGGCATTTCACAGAATCCCAGCCTGGTTTGGGTTGGAAGGGACCTTAAAGCTCCTCCAGCTCCAACCCCTGCCACAGGCAGGGACCCCTTCCACTGGAGCAGCTTGCTCCAAGCCCCTGTGTCCAACCTGCCCTTGAACACTGCCAGGGATGGGGCAGCCACAGCTTCTCTGGGCACCCTGTGCCAGCGCCTCAGCACCCTCACAGGGAAGAGCTTCTGCCTAAGAGCTCAGCTCAGTCTCCCCTCTGGCAGGTTCAAGCCATTCCCCTTGGCCTGTCCCTGCAGGCCCTTGTTCAAAGCCCCTCTCCCGGTTTCCTGCAGCCCCTTTAGGCACTGGAAGGAAAACAAGCAGTGCTTGGCTAATGACAGCAGTGGGAGAGGAGATACCTGCCTGGGTGCTGCATCCATTGCTTGGGTGCTCATCACCAGCGCACTCGGTTGCTTGGCAACTGGACGTGGAGTATCCATCACCAAGCTGGTTCCTTCTTGCAAATGTTTTGTTGAATATCACAGAGTGTGCTGTCAAAGCAGGTCAAAGTCTTCCGAAACACATCCTGGCTTAATGGGCAGATCAGTGCAAATAAAGGGATGAGCTCTTGCTGTGCCAGGAGCTCTCAGGGTGCAGGTTTGTTTGCAGGGGGATGCAGCAGGGTGAGGGGGTGTGTGTGTGTGTGTGTGTGTGTGAGTTACATAGTGTTGTCTTCTTGCCTGAAATCCTTCACTGAGAAAACTACCCACTTGAACACAGAGCAGCTGCCAAGGTCAGTTAACACACGTTAAATATAGAATAGATACATGCACAAATACAAATACATAGATATTTACAAATCTATGGGTCTATTTCTGTGTCTATTTGTACATGTATATGTGGATAAAATAAGTTTTTAAAAGCAATAGAAGGAGGAAAAGAGGCACCTACAGAGACCAGCATAAACCCCACAGCTGGCTGGGGCAATAGGTGTGATGTAGTTCATTCCATTTGGAAGAAAAGGGAAGGAAAAGGATGCGAGGAGGGCAGGCTGTGGCTGAGCAGACCTGTGCTGACCACGTTACCTGAAGACATTCATTTTGTGAGAGTGACAAACAGGTTATTTCACTGTTAAACAGCCTTTCACCATTCTGAGGCACAGACTTTTGCCGTTAGGAGTTGAGATCATCTCTGGCCTCCCCAGAGTGGGGACCCCAGCACCCCTTGGGTATCCTGAAAGCACCCTTGGGAGTCAGCTTCCAAATTCCTCTTCCTCTACAAAGCTGGTAGCAAGCCGCTGGATTGCCCAGCTGCACCAGCACCGGGTGCTGAGCAGACGGAAGGAGATGGTTGTTTCTGTTGAAACAGGCACGGGCTGTGAAGGAAGCTGAGCAGGTAGCAGCGCTGTTCTGTGCAGCTGACCGCACAGGCTGTTTCCCTCCCTGTCATTGTTGCATGACATTCCAGTTGGCACAGGGGTTATTTTTAGGCAGAGACTATCAAAAGCATTTTTCAGGAGGACTGTCCCTGCTCCTGACCGAGGAATCACGTTACTGCGGCAGCTTTGCTGAAACAAGGAAGATAGATTGGACAAATGGGAAATTACAAGTCCAGACCGACCCAAACTTGCACTGGTAACGCATGCTGCTTTTTTAATGCCATTTACCAAACACCCATCTGCGAGAGGCAGGTGGGATTTCAGCAAATGCCTTTTACTCCTGGGCTCAAGGCTGCGGTGTTGTATTGTTCTCGGTTTACAAGAGAAAGGCTTAGCCCAAACCGCATGTGCAGCCTGGGAAAGAAGGCAGAAAGCCTCAAAGTAGATTTCTTTGTGGAGATATCATATTAACATAGATTATGCTGTTGCTTTAGCTTGTACTTCGTTAGAAAACCTTTAAACTGCCAACTCTTTATGCTGTGTGTCTATGCTCAGATTTAGGAACTAAGAACTAACAAATGCACCCTGAGGTTTAAGTTTGCTCTTGCTC